ATTTTTACCATACAGTCTTACGCAACAAAAAATTTGATGCAGCGAAATTTTTACAAAAATATTTACAGAAAAACTACTGTATGACCATAGAATATTGCACTGGTGTTTTTTGCTTTGGCTATATCAATACAATATTAGAAAGCACAATTTCTGTAGGATATAATTGAGTGAGCGTATTTTTTTAATTTCCCAATTTTTTGTAAATTTAAATTTTTGTTTAAATTTGCAAAAATTTTTTAATATTTTTTTATTTTCAAAACCTTCGTCTTTATCATTGCTTTCTGTATATTTTAAACTATTACTATATATATATATTGCTTTGTTTTTGACAAGTATTTTAAGAACATAAGCCTTCTTTATATAATAATGAGTATATAAGCAGCAGTGCATAAAATATAAGCACTAAAAGAACCATAATATCGAAGATTACATGTTTAAATTCTTTAACATCCATTTTCTTACGTACGTAGCATTGCCGTTTTTATATGCATCTAATTATCATTAAAGTATATGAAAAAAATTTAAGAGAGGGCAATTTTGGTATCAATAACATTTCAACTTTGGTAAGAATTAAAAAAAATCCCCACATAAAAATATGCATCAATATTTTTTTTATGATTTTAGTTAAGAGTAATTATGGAAAGTGATCATGTCATAGTTATATTAGGAAGAAAAACAGAAATGATAGAATGCAGAGCTTGAATGCAATGTAAACGTTATTGCTGCCTCTATGCGACATAGCTATGACAGTTGCGCTGAAACTTCATTTGTTTCTGATATAAGGCAGATTAATTTTTTTATTTAACAAGAGTAGTAACACTAATTATCCGCTTACTCCATTTAGTATCGTTATCTTAAATTAATAAATGGTCTACTACTTAAACTAATAAATATTTATTTATTTTGATGGATTGCTTTTCAGAGGTTAATTAGTGATAGAGGAATTATATATGTATTTTTTGCTTTACATTTTACGTAATTTATTTATTAAAAATGAGTCGAAATTGCTTTAATGGAAAATTGGATATTAATATTGATCGGCTGTAGAAGTCCGTTGAAAAAAATTGAAAGAAGAATTTAATATGTTCGTATTGACTTTCGTCCGAATGAAATTAGAAAAGTAATAAAAATTATACCTAAAAATAAATAAAAAATATAGGAATATAAAAGTATGAAAAATAATTTAGACAAGATATGATTTAACTCCTTCAATGACCATAATTTATATGCTTCTGCATCGAATATAATTTAACTGCTCTTTCGATAAAATTTAAGCATACAATAACTATGCAAGCGTATAATAAATTCAATGAATTTGTATAGTTTTCTTCTAAATTATAGTTAGAAACTGAAAATAATTTAAATTTACAAAACTTCTCTAAAGATAAGTAAGCAAAAATCATAATGAATCAGCCACCTGATTATCTCAGAACTATTTGAAGCATTAACGCGATAACAGTTGGTGCATTGTTCCAAATTCGAAACTCCGCTTTCAGAAGGAGAGGCTCTTCGGTATCATTAAGCTCTCATCCCCATATATACGGAAGAGAACAATCATTAGAAGAGAGGATCAAGCCGCTTGTCATGATGCATTTACCTTAATAACACACACTTATACAGAGAGTCCCCATAGAAAGGTATTTCAAATTTATGCACAGTTTCCTGTAGAACTATTTGGTTTGGAATAAGTATGGTTAGAACACTGCACGCAAACGAACAAATTCACATTACATTAATTTCTTAAAATAATTCTTGGAAAATCCATTAGAACGAATAATTAAAGATTTCAGATCATTGTTTTTCTTCTATTTTTGGATAAAAGTGATGTTATTAAATTAATCAAAGGTAATTAGTTTTACTTCAACTATTCACAATGATGTATATTATCTATCAGTTTAATCTTTAAAATAAGTTTAGTTGAGATGCTATGTGAAAACGAACAACTTCACATTACATTAATTTCTTAAAATTTTTCTGGGAAAATTCATTATAAAGAGCCATTAAATAGAACCAATTACTGTTTGTTTTTTGAATGAACTTTATGTTATTAAAATCTCATAAAGAAGATTTGTTTCTATCCTACTATTCTTTTAAATCGAGTTTATTAAATTATTTAATGCTAAAATAAGTATAGTTATTATACTGTTAGTTTTTAAATAGAACATCTAAAGAAATATGTAGAATATTGTGTCATATAAAAATAATGTTATTTAATCGTATTTTAATCGTATAAAAAATAGTTTTTTTAAATAATGATTATTATGCTGTAAAACTCTTCTTTTAAGAAAACATAATAACTATGTAACTTTCTGACAGATTTCTTTTCTTTATAACTACAAAAATTTATTGCTAAATTGCATTGTAATCTGCCAAAATACTTATTTTTTCTGTTATTAAATAAAATTTGTAAGCATTGGTAGAGATCGTATCTGTTGTGTTCGATTTCGAATATGATGAACTTTGGTATGAAAGCAGCAACAAATGATTTGAAACAGATGCCGACTGACTGCATGGTGGCAAAGAGTTAACCTCATACTTCAAACACCAATACCGGGTTCGAATCCCGCTTCTGAATGTCTGAACTTAATGATGGAAAAAAATAAACATCCGGCGACGATTCTTTCAATCGTGATGGTTTTTGTTATCTGAAAAATACCACAAAGAATGGAATAATTTAAAAAAACTATTCAAAATTTTAGATATATGTTTCAGTATAAAACTAGAAGGTCTACAGTTACGACGAATTTTTTTGCCGTACCCTGATCTACGGAAAATATATGGCGCGTACAGATATTTTCTGCTGTGTTTTTTTTTCCAGGGAATTTCCGTCAACGTATTTTCTCCGACATCCAGTGTACGGCAACGTGCATACGGATAACCTTCGACAACATTGCAGCCAGAAGTTTTCTTTAATATAACTTGATTTTTTTACTATAAGTTATGTTAAATCAGCTTCAATAATTCAAATAAGTATCGTTAGAATGCATTTTCGTCAACTCTGTGACAACTTTTGTATGTCTATGTCATACGTTTCCCATTACGACCTTGCAAAAACGTTTATTGTCACCTTTAATCTCGTAACGAAGCTGAATCGCTTTCTGGCTTAATATAGTTTGACAGTGTTGATCGCTGGATGCCAAGTCCGGTCTGTATGATGGGTGGGTGTTGATGTTCCATTGAAATGGGCCAGGAGAGTTGAAACTGCGATGTCGAGGTGACAGATAAGATTCAACACTTTTTCAAGCACGTTACTGGATATAAAAATGGCACAAAATCTGTCACAACTTCTAGAAATTTTTATGTATTTGTAAGAAACAAAGCTTTTTTTTTCTCTTTGTCCATTTTAAATTTTTTATACGAAAATGCATCTAACTTGCAGAGAAACATATCACCAAGTATAGCATAAACTTTTAATTTTAAATAAACTTATTTTACAGATTTTAAAGTAGTCGAATTTGAAAGTGTTTTTTCTTTTGAGATTCCTCGAATAAAACCTAAGTCTTTCAAAAAGTTTAAAAAATAAATATATTTAGATTTAAAAAAATTTCTATTATGCGACATTTTTATCTTGCATAATAGAAAGATGCATCTGTAGGCATTTATATTAATATTTCTATGATGAATAGATCTGCCTTGTTTCCTACAAATTATTTATATTGAAGAAACACTTGTGTTAACCATTTTATATGCTAGTCATGAATGCAATTAAATCCACATTCAGGCATGTTAATGTTTAAATGAAAGTTATTTTTAAAAAAAGCCTAAATTTTAAACTTTCTTGGTTTGTGTTCAATTCAATTCTTTCACATAAAGAAAAAAAAACTTTATTTCAACAAACAGAATAGTCAAGTCCAACCTAAACCTTAATTAACGAATTTAAATATAAATGGAGATTTCGAATGCATTCATTTCACGGAAGACATTAGTTAAAATTTTAAAAAAAAGACTTATTTAAAATCTCGAATATAAATGAAAGAAAAGTTTGATTTTTTCCCTCATGGTTATCCATTACTTATGCATGAAAATTGTAAATGATTAACGCAAAAAAGAAACTAAAAACATTTTTGACATGTTCATGAAATTATTTATTTTACATTATAGAGAAGTTCAATATCGAAACATTCATTAATATTAACATATCATTTTACATATTCAAAAATTAAAACAAAGTATGCATTTTTAAATATTTAATTTCGTATAAAATGTATAGGATAGTAGTTAAAATAAATACATTTATTACATTTTATTGCTAAAAATGTATATTTTTTCAAACTTTCTTTTGCACATCGGTAGTAGTCTTTGATATTCTACACTGGTAAATATGCTTTTTTATTGAAAAAATTTAAGCATAGGGTTATATTAGTATATTTTGTAGTATTCTTGTTTTAACATCAATGCTAAAGGCACTATTATAATTACTAGAAGAATTCTTTTATATTTTTTTCTTGTACATTGAAAATCTTTACTGCACCCAAAATTTGCATCATTAATCTTCTGAAACCCATTGTCCGATATAACGGAAAGCAATCTGTACAATTTTATTTCTTAAATATTATTGTATGGCTTTACAACCTGACTACCACTGATGCCAATGACGAAAATATTGCATGACCAATGAATATCTTATTTGAATCCTTTTTGAATTTTATTTCATTTGAAGAAATACAATGTAATAAGCGCTAAACTAATTTAAAAAGTGCTAGAAAATAAATTTTATCACTTATTTATTCAAAAATTGAAAGTGATTAAAAAATTATTGAAAGTATTTTAAATGATTACATGATCAGAATTATGTTAATTATTATTTTTTTTAAAGTTATTTTTATGAGAATGCTCTCCTTTTAATTTATGGCGAAAAAAAATTCTTGAAAGTACCGTACTGTATGGTAATAACACTTCTGGCAAAGAGAAGAAATATATAATTCTGTTTAATAAAACCAAAGTGCATGGTATTTAAACCATTCATTAGGTAATTTTTCCGTTTATATGGAGATGCGGTATCGGAAATTCTGATTTTTACAATTATAGTTCTTACTACCACTCATTGAGTAAGAAATACAAAACTGAAAGGAAAATTTAAGCAAATAAATGGTTTTTGATAACATGCTCAAAGGTATCGTGAAGTAAGGTAAGGTAACATTATTTGTTTACAAAGGAATTCTTGCAAAATAATTTTAATATCCGAAGTTTTGACACTCGAAAAAAGTGTTCAGCTGGAGTCAAACTGATCCTATCTTAATACTCAAAGTATTAAAATTTTATTACATTTATAATTAGTTTATAAAAAGTATACTTTTATAGTTCCTCTGTTACATTAAATGATACATCTGTTACATAATAAAGTAATTATTTAGGTTTTATGCATTTAAATATATGTATGAATTCTTATTTAATTATATTTGATAATACTGATTTTTATATAATCATTTGATTAATTATATTTGAAATATACTGATAAATATATAAGGTACTGAAAATTAAATTAGATGCAAAGTACTCTAATTATTTAGATGCATTATCAAGAAAAAATTGTCTAGCCTTATTATTTATAATACATTCTTATTAACATATACATGAAGTGCAATGAGATTTGAATTTAAAAATTTTTAAGGCATACTAAAATAGCATAAATAAAAGATATTCCTTCAAAAAACTTAAAATTATAATTTAATTTTTTTTACCTAATACTAAGATTGAAGATATTTAATTTAAAGTATTTTGATGTCTGTTATAGCAGATAAATAATGAATTAAACTAAAATTATTGAGTTTATGTATACAGGAAACCGGGACAACTCTTACTGTTTTGTGAATTATGCCAAATAGATTGCTAAGAAATGCAGTTTAATGAATTGAAAATTTATCATGGTTTACATTTAATACACTAAAGAAACATTAGAAAATATAAATGTTGAAAACAATTTTCTTAGAAAAAAAATATTGAAAACAAGAAAAGGACATATATACATCACACACATTATTACATATTTTCTAATTGTATCTACATATTCAACAAATATAAAATTATGAAAGATCTAAACTGCTTAATAGCTCAATACTCAAACTAGATCATAATGGTTATAGATATTCCTCTCTTTTAATATATTTATGTATATATATTATATTTAAACATTAATTCTTAGTTTACTTCAAAAGTAGCACACATTTTTGAACAGAACTACCGTCGACTTAGTTTGCCACAGAGCAATTTCTGAAAGGATTTCCGAAAGTCTACATTAAATACAGTGTAGATTACGGGATTCAGTGTGGAATTCATGTACCCAAGCCATGTTATGAAGTTGACCATTAAGTTTGATATTTCGCAATTTTCGCAAAACGGTAAGATGACGTACATGAGGAAAAATGGCATCCAGCACAGTACGAATACGCCCATCACTACACCCAGCACCTGAGCTGCCCTTCGTTCCTTTTGTAAGCAAATGCGCTCTTTTTGTTCCATGTAACTCTTCACTGTTACGACCGGTGGTGGGGGTGGCATTTTGCTGTTTGACTTGCCGTTACCCCCATGATGATTTGAGACTTCTTCTTTTAATTCTTGAGGGTCGGAGGACTTTTCTTCCATTTCAATTGATGAAGAGTTGCAGTTGAGGCTCATGTTGTCAATTTTCGCCAGGCATTCTCGACTGGACACATCAGACGATATTGTCTGGAGAGGGGGCATGAGAGTTTTTGATGTAGAAACTTCTGAAACTTTATCCTTCTTGAGCATGTTGGCGGCAGTTTTTGCCTTTACGCGTATCCTGTTTCGTGCTGTCTGGAATATTTTTATGTAAACCACAGTCATAATGACAAGGGGTATGAAGAATGAGCCACTTGATGAGTATATGACGTAACCACGATGCGACGTTAAAGTGCAAGGAGTTTGAGACGTGAACACCTCAGGCCAATCATTCCAGCCAATCAGCGGTGGTACAGATATCAAAGTGCTAATGGCCCACACGCCAAATATCATCCAAAGGACTCTTTTTAAAGTTCTTTTTTGGGCATAGTTAATTGGATCGTGTATAGCCCAATATCGATCCAAAGCTATAGCACACAGATTTAAAATAGAGGCCGTGCAACAGAGCACGTCACACGTTAACCACAACTTGCAAATGTGTAGACCGAAGATCCAGTTCTGCATTATGGAATAAGCGACGTTAAAAGGCATTACAAAGACGGCTACCATGATATCCGCTCCAGCTAATGAAACAAGAAAAATATTCTGAACATTTCTCAACGGTTTGTAAGTGAACACGGATAGAATTACTAGAACATTCCCGATCACGGTCCCTATCATGATGACTCCCAAAGCGGCCGCAGTTCCTATGGCATGCATCAGCATGACCTCATCGATCTCACTCGAAGAAATGTTCTCCCTCGTTATCGAGCTCAGACCAGAAACGGTCTCATTCGATAAGTTAGTGAAATTCATTGAGCTGACATTGATGTAGAGGCTATATTGGGAGATAGCCGTGTCATTGACGGCTTTTTTCTCTAGAGCCAGGTTTATATTATTATCGGGTGCCTCAAAAGCCTGCATGCCAGTCAAGAGCGAGATATCCCAAAAATGTTCTCCCTTCTTTTCAATCTTTATGGGAAATCGAGGAATTCTAGTGGTTCTGGAAACTCATTCATCATCATGAGAAGTTCTTTTTTCATACTTGAAGCAGATTTTTTACTCAGAACAGCTTTATCAGTTTCTTCTTCTCCCAACCATATCCTATAAAAATAGAAAAAAGAATTTATTTTAAAAATAGAAAGAAAAGAATATAATAAAAATGTAATCTTTTGAATAATAGTTTTTTTCGCATTGCATTCAGGGAATCTTTCCAAAAAATGTGTATAATTTGGCTGTCATAAATTATATTCGGGGAAAAAAATGGCGAGGCAGCTTTTATCAAAGCTTGTACAAATTTATCACTAAAGGTACAACTGTAATTTAGAAACTTCTTTACGATGAACAACTGTTGTATTGAATGAAAGGCTATTCATCATCTATGTTTGTGGTAATAACAAATAGCTTGTTTCTCCAAAAAATTAGTTTCGTCCCCTGTTTTTTTAAGCTTTTGTAAGATCTCCCTAAATTTTGAAAACATATATCGTCATGTATTACCCAATGTATTAAAAATTCATTATATAGAATCTGCTTTCAATATTAAATCTTTATAACGTTTAAAATAACAATTAATTTATTACTTATAGCACATTAAAAACACTGATATATATATTATCGGCTAAAATTTCAATATAATTGGCATTATCAGAAATAGTACCGTTAGAAATTTTGCATCATCCTGAGCTATAATATTATTCAAATTTAATTTGATTTGTTTTGGTGCTATATTTAACCATATTAACGTACTTTAAAAGATTAATTTCCTGTTGCTATGATTCAACCTTAATTGATTCAATTTATCTCCTTATTAAGTTGCGTAGTATTATGGCTCAGAAAAACATCATTATGATTCAACACTAAATTAATTTTGCTTAGAATGTGTAGTCTTTACACAATACAGTAAAATAAAATTCTTTAGCAGCAGAAATTTAAGATTATGAATTAATTACGGATAAGAAAATAATTTAAGATAAAGAATTAATTATGGATAAGATAATAATTTAAGATAATGAATCAAGACATTTGTTAATTGTAATTTCTGTTGATGAAACATGACCTTAAATGTGATTTTAATATGTGTTACTCATATTTCATTACCCTTCGAAGCACATAAAAAAATACCTAGCTCCTTTACGCTAAATAAAGTAATTATAAGTCACGTGTTTTACTCTTTCAATAGTAGCGCATTTCTTATAGAATATACGCTGTAACAAATCCCGCATCAAATTACGGTATTAAGTATAGGCAATTTAGTTAAATATTTAGAAAATTCATATTACTGTAAAAATGCATTTTTACTATAACATATCGCTCATTTGGTGAAACAATGACGTAACTGATAGTTTCTATAATGTATCAGTTACGTCATTGTTTCACCAAATAAGCGATATTATACAGTAATTTTTCCAATTATATTTAGTTAATTAAAGCGATTCTGCGATTATACAGTAAATATTACTGTTAAAAATTACAGTATATCAGTTTTTTTTGCTCCAGTGAAAATGGTTTTAAATTGAAAATTACCGACGCCATCAGGGTGTGATTACTACCGAGATTGAAGTACAGGCAATCAGTGCCTGGACTCAAATCACTTTCTTTAATGCGCATCTATCGACTGTCGATATCTATCGATAGATGCGCATCACTATCTATAAATGCACTTTTGGAGCATCACCTGTAAAATCCATTTTTTACTGTAAAATATTATGCTGCAAATTTTACAGTAATATTTATTTAACTAGAGGGATTTAGTTATTATACTGTAATTATTACTGTAGAAATTACGATATACAAGATTTTACGTTCCGTAACATGTACTGGTAAAAATGTATTTTATGGCAAAAATTATTGGCACCATGAGTATCGTTACTTTTTACTGGAACATTTAAAATGTGACTGGAAATTTTTTGCTATGCAGGAGAAAAGCCATCTCCCGAATTTACCCGTTTAGGAAATACTGCAAAGGATTACTTTAAATTACTTCACTTAGCATTTTACAACAACCATCATTAAATAGCCAATCGCACGTTGATAAAGAAATTCAACTATTAAAACGCACATCATTATTTAGCCATGATCAGCAATTTTCATTAATTACTCACTAGAATTCGTCTATGTAAAAAAAGCAATAAAATGGTTTATGAAAATAGAACAGTTACAGAAAACACTGAGAATGACCTAAGAAACCACCATGCTTGAAAATAGCGGGCTAACATTTATATAAAGGAACGAAAATACTAATTTTCACTTTACCAAATTCAATCCACTCTGCGAAAGAAAGTTGCAAAATATACTGACAATTGCAGTGTCGGCACTGTAAATGATACTTCATTATTTACCGTAAAAAATAACTTTGGTTGGTGGTTGGTTCTAATGCCACTTGCCACACGGGCAAGCCTGCTTGGTGAGACCGAGCAAATTTAAGGCAGAGTGTGCGAATCTTGTTTTTCAGTGGCGCCATCTATGGCCAAGAATTCAACTTCTGCCACATCATACGTCACATATGTTTATAAGGCGGACCCATTCATACATCCATTCATTCATCCACAGATAGTAATTTTTGACCTGAATCAGAGAACGATGGATCTCAAATCCAGTACCCTAGAAGTATTGATTTGTTATGGGAACATGGAGGACTTTGCGACTCGACAGAATTTTATTGTGTATCAGTCACCAACTACACGGGGAGTCTTCGGCCGGCGGGGTTCGAACCCACGAACTCTCGGACATGGGCCCAGCGCCCTACCGACCAGGCTATCCCAGCCTGTGAAAATAACTGTAGATAAAATAAAAAAGTTCGAGTGAATGACCACTTTGTCACCAGCAGGAATCGAATTTGAGATTTAAGCACCTACTCAGATTCCATTTCGTCTCTTACAGTTTTTAAATCAGATAAACAATGTTCGGAAACCAATCGTGGTACCATAATAAATGGGAAGAAAGCTACCATGACCTTCTACTGACTGAGATTGATATATCCCAATTTCCCTACATAATTTGCTGTAAAAGTTGAATAGTACAGTTGGGACTACATTTTATAATAATATTAAATTCATTTAATTCATATTTTTCTTGAATTCTTCCCTCTACCAGTAATGCGGGCTAATGTGGATTATATAGTTTTTAATTCAGTTTCAAAATTTAATCACTTTTACACTTAATACGCTTAAAAATTTAAAAATAAAATAAAAATAAAAAAGCCGCCGTCGCCATAGCAACGTATGCGCATTAATTATTCTAGAAGACAGTGGAAAAGTGTGATGACGTGCAAATAAGTTGCGCACACCATCAAATCCAAAACAACACCCATTTTGTTAATGAGTAATAATAGATGGAATTTTTGTGAAACTAAATTGCTAGTCATTCCGCATTATTAAAGACTAAACTTCTAAAAGAAAAATTCTTTAAAATAATCCCTAGAAATATTTTATATTTTGAAAACAATATTTTCGAAACTCATAATTACTGCATAAAGGATATTAATAATAATATTTCAAATCAACAAGAGTAACGCTACTGCATTTTGCTATTTTTAAACACCTAAAGCATTTCCTTAAATGGAGATTGTTATTTAAATTTAACCCTGCTTTCTTAAGCGATATTTGAAATAATTTTCGCTTTCCCAGCAAAAGTAATTACAGCGAAATTTTCAAAAGCAATTCACTTAATGTAAAATCAAATTAAGTTAAAAATGATGAAAATGGGAAAATAAATGTTTCTTTTTTAAGAGAAAAAGACTTCCGGGAATGCAATTTGAATGCTTCCGTAAAGTGCAAACCGATGTCACGATAATGATTACGATTTGCGAACAGTGAACTAGAAAACTTTTTTCGTCAAAATTATTTTTTTAATCTTTTTACAACTTTATTTCGACATTAATCGTTTCAAAATGGGACAAATTCTTTTTTAAGAGATCTACTTTAATGTAATTGAAGGCGTCATATGTCATTAGTCAGTGTCAAAAAACGTTCATTTAATGATTAAAAGCTTCTAAAAAACTGTTTCTAAACATCGAGATATATAGATGTTTAACCCCTTATTTGAAACTGGGGCACTAGTCAAATTTAAAAACTGCGTGACCGAAATTTATTTATTAAGTGTTTTTAATAAAGATAAATCATTCTAATTGCTCTTTTGATAATTTTCATTAAGAAATGCTTTTTTTAAACTCAGAATTGTTGATATTCAGCTGGGAAAAAACGGACAGCCCTGAATAGCTTTTGATTTAATGATAGCCTCCTTTTGATTTAATGATTTAAAATTGAGCCTTAGAACTTCCCGTTGTAGGACTCAATTTTAATGGGTTAAATAGATGATCTCAAATATGCTAACTAATTAGTTCAAACTATATTTTAAGATATGAAATTAGACAAAAAAACGTACTTTTTACTAAATAAACATACCGTCTTTTCAATGGTTTTGGATTTCTGACCCTCAAAATATTGGAAGCAGTAGCAATCTACAAAATATAGTCCCAATAGTTCGGTCAGGAGAGCTGTTCAGAGTTTGAAACCCTTATATTAATTTTATTTTTAGCGTATTTCGGCATATCTCAAGAATTTTAACACGAATCGATTTTTTTTTTCAATATCTATCAAAGCCCGAGCTAAGGATTTCCAATTATTAGTCAGTAAATTAGCCAAATATCAAAAGTAATCGCCAATTTTTAAAACTCTTCGACAAATGCAAATCTTGATAATTTTTTATGATTCATTTTTTCCATAGAAAACTATTTTACGGTAGTTTGTTTTAGGCTTATATTATTTGAACCCAATTCTAATTAATTATGTGGCACATCTACCGAAAATTACTGTAATCGAATAAAAAAAAATTAAAAATACTGATTTGTTTAAAAAAAACTATTTTGACGTAATTTTGAACATAGAGTTAAATATTTTTCTTTCCAGTGGAAAAAATCATTCGCAATACTTTCGCCAAAGCAAAATTTTATTCGCTAAATTTAAGATTTTATCTCATTTGGTGAAGTGGCGAATGCTGTCGAAGCTAAATTTTTTTTTCTGGAAAAATACAAAAATATTCTAAATAAATACGTATAACTATCTATTCAGCACTACTTAAGCTCTGAGACTATCGAACAAA